GGTTAAGGAAAGTATTATTAGCGTATATTACTGTTTTATTCACCGCTCACATATTACATAAACTATACAAATATAATTATGTACAATCAGTTTACAATATCACAAGTATATGTACAGGATAATTTTTTTGTTTTTTTTGTTTCTCTCACTCGACTTTCAAACAGTTGAAACAATTATAGTAAAAGAGTTAACAGTGTTTTTTTTTTCTTAAGTGATTTACAAGCACAAGAAAAAGACAGGAGGAAAATTCACAAGACGACGGAAAAAAAACTTCCTCGTATAAATCACAACTGATGGATCTACCGAGGACATAACTCGCTAATAACTTTTCAGTTTCCTCTGTTCACTAAAACCAGTTCAAATCAAAGAATAATAAAAAAAAAAAAAACAAGAGGAAAGTTACATCACAACTTTAGAACTTTATTTAGAGAACTACGCAGGAGGAGATAGAAGGGAAACATGATAAAAAAGATTTATACAATGACAACCACAGTGACACGAATTCTAATGGACAGAATCAACTCGGGTGGCTTCTTATATAAGTATATAAGTCTGTAAGTATATATCACTTATGAGGATCGAACGAGAAAAAGAGGAAGGCGTGTTGGGGGGTGAAAAAAGGATAAAATCTTTCGAACATTCACACATAAACATCCTTCTTAGTCTCAATGGCTTTGCTGGTAGAAAAAAAACGGGGAATTTTTTTTTTTTTGGTTTTGTTTTCTCTTTTTTTTTGGAAAAAATGGACGCTCTTTCTCCAGACTCGTTAGAGATTTATTTGTTTATTTATTTATTTATACCACTTCCTCTCCTAAAGTCTAAAAAAGCGGGAAACATTCACTCTGCAAATCTCTAATGAAAAATGAAATGAATTGAAGGGAGTTTATTAATATTCAAATGAAATCTATCCTTGGAGCCTAATATAGGCCTAAATGTGGGCGGGGAAATGTGTATCTCTCAAAACTAATAAATATTTATTACTGAATTCAAAGCCTTGATAACTTAATTTAATTTCCTTTCTTTCTTAATCAACGAAAAAAAGATATTTATTCACTAAATATCAAACTTCAGAAAATAAAAAAAAATCGAAAGGGAGGGACATAATTTCCTATCAATTAACTATCCATCATAAATGCCTTTTTATCTTTTATCTTTAATAAGCTTCCTTAGACACTATACATCACCGTACACTAGCAAGGGAGGTTTGTATACAGTACAAATTTGACCAGAGATTTACAACGTATAAAAGCTAGAGTGACTAGTGAAAAGTTCAATAAATTCAATGAAAAAAAAAAGTGTGCTCCATCTGAACAGTCGGGAATCCTGTACAAAGATACAAATATTATGACTATGAACACACGTGGTTTTTTTTAACTGTTATTCCATTTTCATTACTGTTTATTTTATCCTCGTATTCCTCGTTCCTTTGTTCCAGAAATTTTATATATATATATATTTTTTTTCCCTTTGAGCAACAGATATTTCACACTGCGGACAAAAATGCACCATGCTGCAACATTTCTGCAGTTGCAAATCCACCGCAGGCAATCATGGCTGATGTTTTAACGTAAGTTAAGTGTGTTCCACTCTGCCCCGTCCCCTCCCCTCCCCCCTCGCGCGGCCAATTTAATATTTTGATTTGGTTTCCCTTTACACTATTAACAAAATGCAGTTACTGCTATATTCATAACTACATTTTAAACTTGCATATTCTGAATTGTTCCGGTGTTATAATCAAGAATTATATATATATATATATATATATATATATATATATATATATATATATATATATATACACACACACACACACACACACACACACACACACACATATGTATGTATGAATGTATGTATGTATGAATGTATGCATGTATGTATGTATGCATATATATAGGAATCCCTAAGTATTATGTTATGTAGCGTAATGTTATGCATTTAAGTGTGTGTGTGTGCATATGTATATGTTTCTATATGTGTGCGTGTTCGTGTGCGTGTGCGTGTGCGTGTGCGTGTGCGTGTGTGTGTGTGTATCCGTGTGTGTGTGCGTGTACGTGAGCGTGTGTGTGTTTATTCTTAACCCCTGACTACAACCCCCAGGAGCCCCCAAGCCCAGCCCTTCCCGCCCTTGCAATTGCAGGCTGGAAGGAATCTCGACCGACGCCATCGCCGCCAATATCCTTCGCGCCGGAAATCCTTCAGAGAAATCCGAGGCGCACGTCACTTCGTCATTTGGAGATCCTCGTCTTTCACGCCCTTTGTCTACGTGTCTGGCGGGATCTCCCTGTTTCTGTGCACAAAAGGGAAATGTGGACATGTGCCACAGGGAGAGTTTGGGGGAGGGAGGGAGTGGGGAGAGAGGGGCAGTTCTAGAAAATGCATCGTATCGGGTCGCGCGTTCGGGGAAAGATTGCAGACCACTTTTCTTTTCTCTATCTCTTTCTCTCTCTCTCTTTTTTTTTTTTTTTTTTGTCTTTTTCTGTGGTCTTTCATCTTTCCCTCACTCTTTTCATCATTCTTTTTTTATTCCCATCATCAGAAGTTTTTTCATCGACTGATCAAATCCTTTTCTTCCACTTGGGCAAAAAAAAATTAAAGCCTCGTAGTAACCTCGTGTGTTCGTTTGGTCTTTCTTCAGCTCTTCTTAGCTTCCCCTTCGGTCGCCTCCGTCGCCGCCGCCGCCGCCGTCACCGTCACCACCCGCGACCTCCTCTTCGTCTCGTCGCCTTTCCCGTCCTTCTTCGCCGTCTTCTTCTTCCCGCTCAACGCCCCTGCTCCTACTCCTGCTCCTACTCCTACTCCGCTCGCCGTTCCTGTTCCTCCTGCTCCTCCTCCTGCTGCTCCGCCTCCTCCTGCTCCTCCTCCTCCTCCGCCAGCCTCCCTATATCAGATGAAGCTGTTGAGCTGCTGGTGGAAGGCGGCCAGGTAGTCGAGGATGAGCTTGGCGTGCGGGCGGTCGTGCGGGTGGATGGCCCAGCAGAAGGCCATCACCTTGTACAGGTCGTCGGGGCAGTTGAGGGGCTGCGCCAGCCGGTAGCCGTCGCGCAGGTACTCGCCCATCTCGCAGGCGGCGACCTCCACGTACGGCTGCTGCGCCAGCGTCGTCAGCTCCCACAGCAGCACGCCGTACGACCACTGAAAGGAAGGAAAGAGGCGGTTAGGGATTAGGTGCTCGGGGGGGGGGGGGGGATGCTTGTAGGATGGTTATAATACAGGAGAGAGAGAGAGGGAGGGAGGGTGACAAATGGAGGGAGGGAGGGAGGGAGGGAGGGAGAGAGAGAGAGAGAGAGAGAGAGAGAGAGAGAGAGAGAGAGAGAGAGCGAGAGTGAGAGAGACCTCCCCCTTCCCCCCTCCCCCTCCCCCGCACACGGCCTGTTTACCCTCTCCCGCCGCCGATAAGGAGCAATCGCCAACGTGTGAATGAAATCGTGTGTAGTAAATTCACCCACACGATACCATCTCCCACACCCCCTCCCCCGCCTCTCCCCCCTCTCTCTTCCCCCTCCCTCCTCCTTCCTCCCTCCCCTTGTCCTCTCAACCCGTTCCTTCATCGTCACCCTTCTCCTATCCCTCCTCCTCCCCCTTCCGTCCTTTTTCTCCTTCTTCTTCTCTCTCCTTCCGTATTTCCCTGCCGTTTCCCCTTCATCCTTTCCCTCCTTTCCTTGCCTTCTTTCCTCTTCCTAATTCCCTTCCACTTCCTCCTTCTCCCTCCTCTCCTCTCCTACCACCCTTCCCTTCCTATTCCCCTCCTTCTTCCTTCTTATACCTCTTCTACCTCCTCCTCTTCCTCCTCCTACTCCTCCCCTTCTCCTTTTCCTTCTCCTTCCCCTGTCCCGTATCCTTCTCCCTCCTCTCCTCCCCTACTTCCTTCCCTTCCTCTCTCCTCACCTCCTCTCCTCTCCTAACTCCTCTCCTCCCTTACTCCCTTCCCTTCCCTTCCTTTCCCTTCCTCTCCTCTCCTCCCTTACCCCCTTTCCTTCCTACTCTCTTTCTCCCTTCCCCTCCCCTCCTCTCCTCCCTTACTCCCTTCCCTTCCTACTCTCTTTCTTCCTTCCCATACCTCTTCTTCCCCTTCCCCTTCCCCTACCCTTTCCCATACCCTTCCCCTACCCTTGCCCTACCCTTCCCCCCTGGGTATCACATGTCGAGAGTTCGTGGTCACGGTGGTTGGATCAACTTCATACCACGTGGGTAGATGTAGGGGGGGGGAGGAAGGGAGGGAAGGAGGGGACGAAGGGAAGAGAGGAAGAGGAGAGGATGGTGAAAGAGGAGGGAAGGAGGGAAGGAAGGGAAGCGAGAAAGAGGAGAGGATGGCGAAAGAGGAGGGAAGGAGGGAAGGAAGGGAAAAGAGAAAGAGGAGGGGATGGTGAAAGAGGAGGGAAGGAGGGGAAGAGAGGAAGAGGAAGAGGATGGCGAAAGGGGAGGGGAGGATGGGAAGAGGGAAGGAGGGAAGGAGGGAAGGAAGGGAAGAGTAGCGTTATGTGGCGAAAGGTTAGGGGATGGGGGAATTGAAGGAGGGAGGGGGGGGGGGGTGTTGAGGGAAGTTCTGCACAGGAGAAAAAGGGGAATGGAGGGGAGAGAAGGAGGGAAAGGAGGGAGGGAAGGGAAGGAGGAATTGAGGAAAGGAAGGGAAGGGAAGGAGAGAGGAATTGAGGGAAGGGAGGGGAGGGAAGGAGATAGGGAGGGAATAGAGGGAAGAGATGGAGAGAATAGAGGGAGGGAAGGAAGAGAGGGAAGGGGAGGGAAGGGGAGGGAAGAGAGGGAGGGAGGGAAGGGAATAGAGGGAATAGAGGGAAGGGGGGGGAGGGGAATTGAGGGAAGTTGAGAGAGTGAGAGAGACAGCTTTACGGGCGTCTGGGCCGACAATGTATAGCATGCGGGCGTGATGTTTCGAGAGATCGTAAATCGTCGGATGAATTTATAGCTCAATCTGCATATGACCGTGCGTGAGAGTGCGTGCGTCCGTGTGTGCGTGTGCGTGCGTGTGTGTGTGTGTGTGT